CATGAATACTTTTTTGTGGCCTTTTGGCAGAGGACTGCAGATAAATACAGTACAAAGTCCATAATCCAGACTCGTCGGGACTGCGGCGATTCCGGATTAGGTGTTTTTCTGGATTATAGATCATAAATTTAAATCTGGTAAGATGGAAGAAATTATACAATTATGATCTAAAATTAGCAATTATGATCTAAAGGGTATAATTTACAAATAAAACTTAATATTTATTTGTTTACCTTATTAAACATTTCTTCCAATGTAAGTTGTTGAAGTTGCTTCGTTTTTTTTTATGCTAATACTTTCTCTTCAATTCTATAAACAGACATACAGTCAAAAGTCGTTAATCCGGACTCGTCGGGACTTCGGCGATTCCGGATTATCGATTTTTCCAGATTATAGATCATCAATTTAAATCTGGTAAGATGGCATGCAGAAATTATAAAATTAAAAATATGAAACCGTAATTTATGAAATAAAGAACAATTATTATCTAAAGAGTATCAAAATTTAGAAAAAAAAAGCTTAATATTTATTTGTTTACATTAAACATTTCTTTCAATGTAAGTTGTTTAAGCTGCTTTGTTTTATGTGATAATACTTTCTCTTTAATTCTATAAACAGACATAATTTCTTGTTCAGTTACAAAGTTCCGCTCTTCAAGTCCTATAATTGCTGTGTCGAGAATATCGACTAATTTGTCAATCGAAATTTTTTCATTTTCAATACCCTCTGTGTCACTTTCTTGACTATCGGAAGTGAATTATAATGACGAGGAATTTGATTTAAATCATATCAATGACAGAGTACATCAAGATGAAATACTACATTTAGTACGGAATTATAAGCCAAATAAAATAAAAACATCTGCCCTGAAGATAAGGATAGTGCTGACAGATCAACTTCCAATTAATTGTGCGCCGCGGCATCCCCCCCCCTCGCCGCAGAGCAGCGTGAAATTGATAAACAGATTTCGGAATGGTTAGAGATATGCCTTTATCCATTTTTTGCAGCAATTTCACTTTTTGTTTAATGGACTTCGAAACTTACTTTCGTTTTGTAGATCCTTTACATATTAGTAAGTACATATTGAAAATTCTATTTGACATAATGAAAGTTCAAGCTTACTTTCATAAAATTGCTCTAACAGTTTGCAAAAATAATAAGCCGTATCCAATTCGAAGATTAAGGAACAACGCAATTTGCAATATTAACTGAATTAGGCAATTTTAGCTTAGCTTATACCGTCCGTTATACATTAAACGCGCATGCGTAAATGTATTATGCACATGCACACATGCATATTCACAGCCGTAAAGGTCTTACGCGCATGCGCAGAAAGTTTGTAGCTTTGAGGTCCGGATTATAGATCATTCCAGATTATGGGTGTCTGAATTAACGAATTTTGACTGTAATTTCTTGTTCAGTTACAAAGTTCCACTGTTCAAGTCCTGTAATTGCTGTGTCGAGAATACCGACTAACTTGTCAATAGAAATTTTTTCATTTTCAAAAACCTCTTTGTCACTTTCTATCGGAAGCGGGTAAACGCTTTACGTGCATGTGTAGTGGACGTGTGCATTAAATGCGCATGCATAAGTTTGTGGCTTTGAAGTCCGGATTATAGATCATTGCGGATAATAGACGTCCGGATTACAGACTTTGTACTGTATTGCTAAAAACTTTTATGCTTATAATAAAAAATTAACACTGATTAAATAAAATGGTGATTCCTTCATAATTGTGATAAACGCCAAACTTGTTGATTGTTTTTATCTGGCGCAATTTCGTTTCCATTATGGTTTGCAGCTGCATCTTTTCCTCGTTCTGCTGGTAACCTCATCCCCCCCCCGGTAAATGCATTACTATTTTTTTTTTTTTTTTTTTTTTTTTTTTTTTTTTTTAATCATGTCATGCATTCCTTGCTGCTGAATTTCAGGATATCTGCTTGGTTTGGAATATTGCAATCCAAAAGGAGTGTAATTAAATTCCAAACAAAAGTTGGGTTAACTCCGTCCACTGAAATAGATGTGCAATGCTCAAAATGCTCAGTGCAAAATGTGTGTTAATGTGGATAAAATTAAACAATTGGGATGGCAATAGGTGTATAAGAATAGAAATACTGCTTTTAGATGTAGTAGCACAGTGAATCCCTTGAATAACACCTTCTTTCAGGAAACCAGAATACCTTTTAGGGTAAAATTGAAATTGTCTATAACATTAATTTTCAGTCATATAACTGCACGGAGAAAAGAGAGGGAAGAAAGCAGCACTAATGTTTGCAGGGAAATTTGCAAAGCTATCCCTTAATAGTCACAAAATTGGAGGTAAAGGGAAAATAGTTCTTATTGATGAGCTGTTTCTAACTCTCTGGAAATATGAGCGTAGCCGAACAACAGAAGGCATGACAATTGTTGCTTTTGGTATTTAGGGTGGGAAAGATAAGAAATGCTTGTTAGTTGAAGTAGATGCTAAGAATAAGAGGGATCTACGGCCATATGTGAAATATTATTGCCATGGAAACAAGCGTTTTTTGTACAGATTCTGTGAAACAATCTTCTGAGATTGAGAAACTTTCTTGTAACGGTATTCATAAAAGCACAAATCACAGGAAGCGGGGAATTAATCCATGCTGAAGACACATCAAATGTTATCAATGAGCAGGAAAACCAAACCAAATTACTGAAAAAAATCTAGAAAACAAAATTTTCTCAGAACTCTTTACATCGCTTGATGGCTGTGTTCTTCTACCAGAGCTTCAGCTGGATAATTTAAATTCGGATACAGAGAGAAAATATTTAGATTCTTGCAGGATGTTAAATTAGACTACCCAGGATATAGAAAGGCACCACTGAAATTGAAAGTGATTAATACCCCAACTATTTTAAACCAAAGGCATAGAACACCTGATGCCAAAAGAATGTGCTAACAAGTCCTCCGATTCTAATGATGATGACATTTTTTATGACACTGGGAATTGTGATTAGTGCTATTCCTGTTAATTAGGAATTAAATAATTTTGTAAGTATGTTAATAGTTCCCAAGATAATGTTTAAAATTTCACCATTTCTTTTTTCCCATTTTTATTTATGATGTACTTACCTTGAATACATGAAAATTTCTGATGCGGGTGAAGAAATAGTTGGTATGTATTATTTTTCTAGTTTCGTGTTTGTATTGTATTCAACGCCCATGTTCATTTGGTGACATGAAATTTCACATGAATGAATGAAAACAACTTGGTGTAAACTTAACTCACTTATGGAATATAAATCAATAAAACAAACCAATGAAAATATAGTAGTATACTTCAATGAATTAAATGAAATATATTTTTTTTTAATTTGACAAAACCTATTTATTTTAAGAAAACAATTTTGCAAACATCTGTTGAATATAATTCCAGAACAAAGCATCCCTTTACATAAAATCACTAAAATTGTAACAAAGTGCCAAATATGTCTGGCTTCTACATATTTCCAACGTTGCATTACTATAAGCTGGGGTCGTTTCACCTGTGAATTAAATAATGCTTCTGGTTCTTATAATGATAATTTGTACCAATGTTTGAACACTAAGCACACATTGCAAGCTGAAACCGAGACTTTTTTTTTTTTTTTTTTTTTTTTTTTTTTTTTTTTTTTTTTTTTTTTTTTTTTTTTTTTTTTTTTTTTTTTTTTTTTTTTTTTTTTTTTTTTTTTTTTTTTTTTTTTTTTTTTTTTTTTTTTTTTTTTTTTTTGTTTTTTTTTTTTTTGTTTTTTTTTTTTTTTTTTTTTTTTTTTTTTGTGGTCTATATTTTAGGGTACCCCTTGGATTATTGCTAAGCTGTTTTATTTATGGTAACCTGAATATTTCAGAATACATATTATGATGTGATTAGTTGTAATGAATGATTGTGGTGATTTTGATTGTCGGAAAAATATTTCTCAGGGCTTATTTCTACATTGGCTGTCGGTTAGGAAGTACATTGCTTAATTCATGCTTTACATCATAAAATGGGTACCATTGGTAAGATTAATCTGAAGTTTCTGTACGATTTGGAACAAATAGGAAAGAAACCATTGATTGACTGGTGTGGAAATGATTTAAAATGCCTTCATTCACCTCTCAGTAAAATACGCAGTGACATTTAAGGATTCGGAGACTAGAGCTTATATCAACTCTATGGAAGGTACGTGGGGTGTAATAAAAAGGGATTTTTGAAAGAAATGCCACCGGCAGACAGAGGATATTTTTGTTCTTTATATTTGTAAATTTATGTGGCGACAGCAGTACACAGATTTTAGTTCAGATAATTTTAAATAGTTTTGGATGCTGTTATGGAATTTTGTGAGCGACACACCAAAGACACAGAAATTTTTAAATAAGGTTAAATTCTTTTTTTCTGTTTTATTTTATGTTTTAATTATGTTTTGGATGCTATTTTACTTAGGAGGGTGTTGCATGTAAACAGGAATGGTGGCAATTTTCACCAAGGGCTACTCTGAAATATTTCTCCCCCCTCCCATTTTTTTATTTTGTACACAAATCTTAATGATTATTAAGTAAGTGTAAAATTTTTAAAGTTAAAAATCAAGTTTCCTTCACCATTGGATTAAAAAAAAAATACATTCTTACCTACATGGAAGTGATTCATTTTTCTAAGTGACTTCGTATACACTTTACATATATAAAACTAACTTCATTATGCAAATGTACAAGAATTGGATTGTGAAATTGTGATAATACTTCTATTTACCTCTTCCCATATCGGCTCTTGTGTAGAATTGGGTGCCTCTTCGATTGGCGACATTTTTTTTTTTTAAATTTTGGTGATGAAACCTCACTTGTGGTTGCCACGATAGTTTTAACTTTGTTTTAGCTTCCCAATTTTATTTAAATGAAAATAGATTGATGTGTACATGGACATATTTAAAGCAGTGCACAATGCCTAGTTTTGGCAATTCTAAGATGTTTTTTTTAAGTAAAACAGATCGATGTGTACATGGACACAGATCCTTGTGCAATTCTTTGACTTCTTATTTTGGTTTTGTGTAGCGGCCATCTTGAAAACTGTGCCTTCCTGGCGGCGATCTTGGCGTCAAAAAAGAATCTCCAATAAACAAGGGGCACTCAATTGTAAACTTTTACCCCAATATCATATATGGTAATTTTGCACTAGGTTCTAAGATGTTTTTTTAAGTAAAAACAGATCGATGTGTACATGGACACAGATCTTGTGCAATTCTTTGACTTCTTATTTTGGTTTTGTGTAGCGGCCATCTTGAAACTGTGCCTTCCTGGCGGCGATCTTGGTGTCAAAAAAGAATCTCCAATAAACAAGGGCCACCCAATTGTAAACTACCCCAATATCATATGTGGTAATTTTGCACTAGGTTTCATGAACATTATACATTGATATCTTGGATCCTGGAGTTGGATAACCATGGTCTTCAGTATTTAGTCACAGTAAGTAAAAGTTTCTAGTCAATGAGTTTACAATAGGTATGAGGAACACACTTCAATCATTAATCACAGTATGCATATGACGATTAAATTTAAGGCTTGCTTCATAATTTCAGTGTTAAGTGTTTTTAAGTGGTAACATGCTATGATCCACATAACACATTTTGGTAGGCAACAGATGAAAACATTTTGCTAAAAGTGTCTTGAAAACCGTTTGCCCAAAAGAAAGACAAGACCTTATCTGTTAAGAAAATTAAGCTTTGCTTGCAGATAATACAAGCTGCATATTTGTGGTTGTGGCATCAGCAACACAGTCTGAAACTGATTTTGTAAACTCAGAATGTTATACATGCAATCTTAATTAAATATATTTCATTTCTGGGCATTCTTAACATTTATGGCACAATTATGAGGGAGTTTCACTTTAAGAAAGAAGGTAAAACATTTCAACCTGCAGTGTTAAACAGGATGTCACAAAACAGTATATTTCATATATCTGCACTATTTAGAAAATGTTATAAAAGTTTAAAGGATGCAAATTTAGGAGAAGGGGGAGAGGAAATGCAAAACCTTTAAAAATATCTAATTCTGAATATTCAATGCAAATATTTTTAGTCAGCCTTCACATACACTGCTTTAAACGTCTCTTCCATACAAGCATTTCTAATATAACTACGATAACAGACCATTGCTTAAAATAAGTAATCCCATAAAATAACTCATGTTGCATCGCCGGCAGACTATATGGCATCTGAAGCAATCTCTGCATATCATTAATTTTGTCACTGAGCATCTCTCTAAATTCTAATAATTTTACTGCCCCTAAATTTTGCCTGCTAGTGCAATTTAAACACTTGAAGTCACATAATGAGATTTTTGTACTGCAAGTACAAATCCTTTCTGTATTAGTATGTAAAGCTAATCTAACTTTTTCTGACACTCAGTGGCGTAGCTAGGGTGGGACAAGGGGTGACATCTGTCCCTGGACGCAGCATCTAAGGGGCGCCAAATTGATGCTACAAGTTTTAGAATGAAATGTTTTCCATTCTTGGAACACAGAAAGGGGCACAAAATCTTTAGTTGTCCCCAGGCGCTTAAAACCTTAGCTACGCCTCTGCTGACACTACAGAAGATTTCTTCAAGTATATAAACATGTCTCTTCAAATTCGTCGATCCAAATGATTTTTACTTAAGTAACTCACAAGATTTCTCACATATCGCCATTTCAATCATCCTACTGAATGAATGACTTTTTACACACATCATGCATATGGTTCTTCTCCTGTGTGCATACACATATGTTTGTTTAAATGACCCTTTTGTCTAAATGACTTGTTACATATTTCACACACATAGGGCTTCTCTCCTGTATGAATATGCATGTGCCTGTTTAAATTACTCTTGTGTCTAAATGATTTGTTACATACCTCACACATATGACTTTTCTCTCCTGTATGAATAAGCATATGCTCTTTAAAACTACCATTATGAATAAATGACTTGGTACATACATCACACACATAAGGCTTTTCTCCTACGTGAATAAGTTTATGCTTGCTTAAATTGCTCTTTTGATTAAATGACTTATTACATAATTCACACACATACGGTTTCTCCCCCGAGTGAATAAGCATATGCTTGTTTAATTTATCCTTTTCTCTAAATGATTTCTTACACAGCTGACAGAGATGAGACTTCTCTCCTGTGTGTATAAGCATATGCTTGCTTAAGTTGCCATTTTGTCTAAATGACTTATTACATACCTCACATGCATAAGGTTTTTCTCCTGTGTGAACAAGCATATGCTTGCTCAAAATCCCCTTTAGTCTGAATGACATGTTGCACACTTCACAAACATGTGGTTTCACTACTGTGTGTAAAAGCATATGCTTGATTACATTACTTTTTACTCTAAATGATTTGTTGCATATTTCACACACATGCGGTTTTTCTCCTGTGTGAATAAGCATATGCTGGTTTAAATTAACCTTTTGTCTAAATGACTTGTTGCATACTTCACACACATGCGGTTTCTCTCCTGTGTGAATAAGCATATGCTTATTTAAATTTCTCTTTTGGCTGAATGATTGATTGCATACCTCACAGATGTGAGGCTTCTCTTCTGTATGAGAATGCATGTTCTCTTTTAAAGTATTGTTTTTTCCAAATGATTTGTTACACATCTCTTAAAACACAATGTTTCAGTCCTGTGTAGGTAACTGAAGATGACAGCCTGATATCATAAAACGTAAGGAAATTTTAATCAAACAAGTTTTGGGTTACTTCAAGCTAGCTTTCACACATGATTATCTTCATGTAAGTAATATCCACAAGACTCAATACGTCATTAAACATTAATTTGCTATATTTTACACAAATATGATTATCACTGACACATTGCTGACACTGACATTTATGAATTTATGTAGTTTGAACAAACTACCAATTTAAAATTTTACTAAACATTTTCACATTTAACCGTGCACAATTTGCAAAGTATAAGGCTGCACAGAATTTTAAAAAACATATGTACTGATTTGCCATTATATCTGCTAATATAAACATTACACCACCACGTTTGGTGGGTGGTTCCAAAAGCTGTATCAAAACAAAGTCTAGGGCTTTCGTCATATTCTTGGGTATGTAAGCAGCCGCGACCATGAGTTGAAACGCGCATGCGTCATTTGGACCGATTTATTCCCAAAATAAGGTGGAAGGAGCCTGAGGTGGATGGATACAGCTTTGGATGGAATCAGGGAGGAATCATTTGGTTGGGATTTTTTCCCTGTTTATATCCACGGCGTTCGAAGGCTAGTGATCTAAGTAATAAGCTGTTCATCATTTGTTATTACCCGTTTTATTACATTGTGTTTAATTTTGAGTATTTATTTATATATTAGTAAATAGTTTTTCAAAAAAATTTCAATTATTTCTGTAAGTATTAAACAAACAAAAAAAG